TTTTTTTTCTTTTAACACAATACTTCTCATAGCTGATTTCAGTAACGACTGATTATTTGGATGACACCGAGATTCGATTGATTCATTCCACTCTATTCTTTTTACTTATTGCTTAACATATCTTTACATGTTGGAATGACTTTATCATTCCATATTTGAATCACTTTCACCCTAGCTTAAATTCCTAGAGGATAAAATTCTAGTCTCTACTCTAGGTGAAAGTAATTCAAACATGAAAATTGATGAGCTCAACTTAAATGTGATCACATGCTATTAATTAGTCAAAAAGGTATGCAATTAATTAACCCAAACATGTCATGCATGCTAAATTGATCGTATGACCCGCTGGTTCCATTAACCACCAAGTGTAATATATGATAAATGATTCTAAAGATTTTTTGTCTTATCAGTTTCCACATTTCTCAGAATAAGAAAAAGAATGCACTAATGGACTGGGGAGACAAGGAATTGGTAAGAATGGAGTTAAGATGAATTTTTTTGTGTTACCTGGCAATCCATTCTATCTGTAATTCCACCATGTCCAGGAATACTATCACCAAAATCCTGTGGATAGGTTAAAAGAAGTTATATGATAACATAAACCTAACAAAACAATTTATATTTGCATCTTTACAACTAACACTGTAGTTAATTTCTCATTCAATTTCTACTTCTAATTCCCATATTAGCCTTAACATGTATTCTTAGAACATAATTTACCGTGTTTGGATTACCATCATTGAGAAATTAATGTGAGGTTGTTGATGATTAAAACTCAACAAATTATGTTTTAGTTATGCATCGCAAGACTAATATAAATGTTACAGTTAGATAGGAAATGAAGTGCAAACTAAGACTAATGATAGATACGAACCTTGACTTTAAAAGCTCTTTTAAAGCCGCTCGCAAAAAAGCCTCCAAAAGGTGCTATTATTGATGCAAACAAACCAAGACAGAGAGCATGCCACTGAACTGGCAGAACAGATAACTCTTTCCAAGGAAACTGCATCATTTAGAAGAAGATCAAAACACAACTCAGGGTTCTTAAACCAATTATAGGGTTATGTTTGGAGTATTTCCAACTAAATTGCATAAGAAAGTTTTTTAGGAACGAGTTCTTGTCTTTGGAATAAATCATGAATATAAAAAATATATTATGAAATTCACTGCATTTTCTCTAGTGCAGTTACACGTTGTTGATTTCATACTCCTCCGGTAGAGTCAACAAGGAAAAAGTGAATTGTCTTGTCTTACTGCCTTTCAAGACGTTCACTGAATCCTTCACAATGTTTTGGTGGCAGGTACTAGTACATCGAAGCCTTAGAGAGAGCCGCTAGACCCCAGACAAAAACGCCGTTACGAAGCGCCATCAGCCCAGGTCAGGCGACCCGAAAGGACCAGACATAAACCACCTGCTAAAGCAAACGGTAAATAAGACAAGCGGTAAAGGTGACAAGTAAGGGATACAGGATGGATTTGTCCAGGGTGTGTGAACCTCCTTATATATTCAGCCACATGTTTCAAGCGGGTGTGAAAGGATTTTTTGGCCTCGGTTATTCTTCTATGAAATCTCGATTCTGAAATGGAATGATTGATAGAATCGAGGCTCCCCTGAATAAGTATAAGACCCCGTGATTCCCCAAACCAGCTCCTGGCCCTACCCGGCGGAACCGGCCGGAGGTATTCGGCATGGGCGGGAAGGGCAGCTGAAGGGTAGTTTTTTGGTAGCCTTTTATTTAGAGGTATATATTTACAACTTTTCATTAAATCCAGCATAATCATCTTAAAACTCCAATAAAGTTTGAAATATATTGTTCTAGTTCCATTTTGAATCCATTTGGAATTAAATTTTCGGATTTGGAACAACTCCAAATATAAATTTCCATATGAATTTTGACATTCTTTTTTGTAATTCATTTGTTCCACACACACTCTAACCATTATATGTAAAACAGATTTATTTTAATTACAACCGCAGAAGAATCTCTGACCAAAACTAAGGATCAAGATCATATAATCTATTCAGAAGACAAAAGAAACAAAGAGTTCTAAGATGCCTGAATATTGAGACCATCGATCTGAATTTGTATTCATGCACTAATAT